AGATGGTAGAAAATGGCTGTCAAACAGATAGCTGCAGACAGCATGGGGAGAGACTGATTATTTTAACTTTATTTCAAACTGTGCTTATTCCCTTCCCTGATTTGCATTAGGAGGGGAAACTACTCCAGCCAGGATGGCCATGTGGGCCCCACAGTCCTTCCAAGAGGCAGCAGCCAGAGCAGGCACCATGTAAACAGTTTGACCGGGATTCCAGCATGGAGAATTTCAAGGCCTTAAGCTCCATGTTATGTAAAAGTGACCCTTATGTTTTCCCTCTTCCTCTGACTGACCAGCTGCTGTAAAGCACTGCAGATTTTGCATTAACATTCTGCAGCAGTGCATGTGAGTTGGAACCTCTGTTTTAGAAACGGGCACGGAGACCTTTCAGAGCTAAGCTGAGCAGATAGGAATGCTCTCTGGTCCCAGAGCTGCTGTGAATGCTGTTGCAGCATTCAACAAGCTCTTCTTTCAAAAGCAGCAAAAACAAAACCCCTCATGCTGGTTGCAATCTGCAGGATGAGTCACATGACAAGTACTTTGCAATTAACAAGAAGAATCTGTTCCCTGGTGTTTCATTTTCCCTTGGGATTTGGTAATGACATGTAATATGTTACTGCAGGGAAGCAGGATGCAGTTAAGTACTGCTCTCCTCCTCACACAACTCTGCATGTACCTTGACCCAAATATGGAGGAAGATTTGCGGAGGGCACAAGAGGAGAGCCATATTCCAGGCATTGTCACTTCTGGGCTTCTGGAGAAACTGTCAGTGAAAGTACCAGTTGTACTGAGCCTTTGGGAGGTGTGGGCTCTTATCTGTGAAGAGCTGAATGGACATCATGATCTGTTTTCTGCAGAATAGTTAAATACAATACTACATCACAGTTGACTATTACCACTAAGCTAGAAGGGTCACGTTCACCTCCCTCTCTGGTGTGATATGACATCCTATCTCATTGATATCACTGCAGTAATGATGACTCCTTATTTAAAACCAGACTGCTTTATAGCGGACAGGAATCCCCTGCTGAGGGGAAGTTGCCAGTAGTGTTGCAGCCATACAAGTGCTCTAAAGAAAATTAACTGGTCCCAAATTAACTTTTTTTTCTTCTACAGAAAGAAGCTGTTGTCTTCATTGGCTTCTCGTGTCACTGAATAGGATGATTTTTTCTTTTTCTTTTTTTTTTTTTTTTTTCTTCCCTCCACCAGCAGGTATGTGTGAAACAAGCAGCGGCATAAGCTTTAGTGCTGCTTGCTGGAACTAGCATCAGAGATCGCTGCTCTGGGATGCGATGTACAGGAAAGCTTGTGCTGTGATGACATTTGTGCAACATCCTGCCCTTTTCCACTATCATTGTTGCAACGACATGGGATTTTTAAATTTTTCTTTATTTTTTTTTTAACCTATATTATCATTCCTAACTAAGGTATTTAGCATGCCTGCTGAGCAGATGGTGATGTAGTGGAGTCTAGAATTTCACCCAGGTAACCTGTTACACTCTCTTCCTGCTCTTGTAAGAATGGAAAATGTAAGCTAGTCTCTGATGGAAGCAAGACTATTCCTACTCCTTTCCTATCTCAAAGAAAGGATGAAGGAGAAAGCCTTAGTTTTTTCTCGGCTGAGATGCTTATCTTTCCAGAGGTGTAGGTAACTATTCTGTGAGTTATAATTATGACTTCCTCTTGTGAAGTATGTGTTAACCTGAGCGGTAGTTATCCCTTTGCAGTGGCTATGAAGAATTAAATGAGAAACTCAGTGTTGCCGAGTTACTTAGCACAGTCCATGCCAGATAAAGCAGGTGTTAGCAGTTTGAAAGAGAAAACACCTATGCTTACCCAAATCAGCCCTTTTAGCCCACACCTCTCTGCCCCTTGAAGGTGCTGATCTGTAGAGTGGTCTGTCTTGTGTTTGTGTATCCTCTCTGCAGGGCTGGTGTCTGCAGAGTGCAGACCAGCTTGTAAGGCTGGCACTGTGTGTGTGTCATTTCTTTGAGGACAGGGAAACAGCAGAACTCGGTTGCCAGCTAGTTGCCTGCCTGGTGCCTGCCTTTTTTTTTTTTTTTTTAATCTTTTTATCTTTTATACAGTTGTACTCTTTCAGGAAGGAAACCATCAGCACCAGCTTCTGTTGTCACAAGATGCATTTAGGTGTGTGACTTCAGACAAATGAGCAATAATAAGGAATAGTTTACTTCTGTATCACCAGACTGCGAGGAAGCTGTCCAGCACCCTACAACTGCCTGCAGCCTCCTTGGAGAGCACAGGAACGCCTCCGGCTGCTCTGTGGCTTGCATTAGCCCTGGTTGTCAGCGCTGACACCTCATCATGAAGCCTCTTGCCCTCTCTGACACTGACTGCAAACCCTGTGCAGTCAGGCTTGGGGTCCCTCTGTGGGGCACCCATCACAGTGACCTCATCTGTTTTCTTACACCACTGTCTCTTAAAATGTTTCCGTGCTCTGAACAGCTCTCTTAGAAAGCAGCATAGCTAAAATTTTATTTTCTTAAATGTCCACTCTAAGCACAGCCAGCTGATATGCATAGGGCACATCTATCAACTTTTCTAGCTCTTTGTACTGAGGTGGAGATGTCAGAAAGAGAAGAGCCAAGGAATAGCAGCACAGGCCTTTCCTGCATTCTTGGTCTGCATGGGAAAAGAGGCATGTGTATGAAACTGGAGTAAAAGGCCATTTAAAAATAGCTAAGTGCTTGCTAAAACCCAGTGTTTTCAAGGATCTGGATGCAGTTGGCACTTGCTACATCCCATCCCTTTCGTTGTGTAAAGCTGAATCTAGGTTGCACCTAGTAACTACTCCCAGGTTTTCTGCCTACCTGAGGGTGCTTTTCTACAGGGGGCCATTTTCTGACAGCTACTGATGAACATGAACGCGTGGTCAGCAAACTCCTTGTTTTATAGTGATGTGACAAAGTTTTATTGTGATTGGATTTTATCATGATTTCTGACGTGCTTACGGGAGCAGTTCTGGCTCTTTTAAAACACTTTCTACACATTGCTAGGTTCCCTGAAGAGATCAAAGGTGTTTTTAATTCACTTTAAATCTTTCTATGTTGAATTCATTTAAATGTCTGTTATAAGCTATTTTTGTTGTGGTTGCAGGTGGATAAAATGCAATTAAGAGAATGCATGTGAATTGCTGCCCCTCAAAAGCAGTGCAGACAAGGGGCTATAGACGAGTTATACTTGTTGGAGAGGCGTTGATGTATGTGTAACAGAACATTGGTATTTTTTGCCAGTACAACTAAAGACACTTGAATAATTCCTGTTTGCACTTAATGCTATTGTTTATATTGCATGTCACTACATTTCTATGCAAAACAAATAACCTTTTTTTTGGGAGGAGGGGCAGCCAGATATTTGATTAAGTATAAAGATCTTTGCGAGATGATCTATTTTCGTATTTATGAAGGAGTTTTACGTCTTAATATTTTGCAGTCTGTAAATAGCTCAACTTGTAATTAAAGGCTTAGGAAGAAGTTTGTAGCCTGTGTATAATAGTAAGTTAACACTGCCAGAAAAAAAAAATCTTTGCAAAACAACTTTTCTAATATTGCAGATATTTATGAATATGTAAAGAAAGCACGTCTTGTTTTTATGTTGATTGACTTTCTGACTTTTTTGAACTATAGAAATGGTGTATGTTTTATTGGAACTGCAATAAGAAGTAACCAAAGATGAATCAGTTAAATATTTTCATAATTTTTTCTTGGTCAGGTTTTGTAAACTTTCCCAACTTACTTTCAAAATAAAAATGAAATCAAGGCCTGAGTCTTGTGATTAAGAGGACAACTCTAGGTTAAAAAAGCTGGCTCGAATGCTTTCTTAAGCTATGAATGACGTTAATACCTGGCTTGAGATCATATTTGCTGTTACTCAGTGCTGAATTATAAACAAGGAAAACTATCATCCTTATTAGGTGTTACTTCTCTCGTGCATCTTACTGAAGTGTTACACTATTAAATCCATAAGACTCAAGGACTTTTTTTTCCTGCTCTGCATTACAACGCTCTGAAGAGTAGGCCATAGCTTGTGATCTACAAGACAAGATAGCTTTTGATAGCAGCTGCTCTGTTCTAGCCCTAAATAGCTTCAGTAGCACAGGAAGGCATGCTGTTCAAGAGGACCACATCTGGCTCTAAGTCCCACTGCGTCTCCCCTTGCTTAGATAAGTTTGAAGACCTGCTATGGCTTGGTTCTGCGTGCAGTTACCCTGCACTAAAGTCAGCTGGCCCACTTAGAAGAAGCTTTCTCCTTCCCCCCTCTCCTGTAGGAGCAGAGGTCTTGTCTATGTATGCTGTAACCAAGATTAAGGTGACGCACAACTACGAAGTGGGATAGCTCTCCTAGGTGCATGTTCTAAACCAACCATGGTCAGTGGTTTTTTGTTTTGTTTGTTTGTGGTTTGTTTTTGTTTTTTTTAAAAAAGACAATACTTTTTTCCTTCCTGACTTCCTTAGAAAGATAGGAAATAATTATAAGGGTTATAGGGAGTTATGTTACCAGCAGTAACTGAAAACAGTAATGCTTGACTAACATTCATAAAAATGTATGCTTTGCCTTATAGCACTTTTCTATCAAGCTGGTTGTATGGGTCAACAGCTTGGAGCTTTCAGATGCGTTCTTGTAGGTAAGACTTTGACCTTTAGCACCTGCTCCTTTTGTAAAGGTCTGTCCCACCCTAAACCATATGCTAAGAAGTTTAAGTGCGAAGCTCTGGCCTCAGTCTGCTCTTCTTATCAAGCGATTACCGTTTTCATCTTCTGCAGGAAGTGAAACCCATGCTAAAGTAGCTAGTGTATGGCCTTTCCAGAAAGGCAACCCTAGGTGTCTGGGTTGTTTTTTTTTTTTCAAGCTTTGAGTGCAGAGCACTGAACTGAAACTTGCAGCCCTGGGTGCAGTTGGGGAGGTGTGCTTTTCCTCCCTTTTCTCCAGCCTCACCCCACCCTTCACAGCCCAGCATGCCACTAAGGAACAACAGGGGGAACTCCAATTGAGTGCAATTTAATCCGTCAGAAGTTAAAACAAAAACAAGGATAAGAAACTTGCTCCCCTTCTGGTCAGTTCTTGACGGAATAAAGAACTTCAAAATGTGAGGGGGGAAAAAAAAAGCCCAGTTCAGCAAGTCCTCTAGCTCTATCCACTGGCCCAGGCCAACTTCATCTTCTGGCTGTGAGCTTTGGAAGATTTAGAAAACAAGCTCTTCACTATTTGAAGTGGCACTGATTTTCCACTGAGGTACAGTTTATTATGGCAGTCTGGCAACCAAGGCCCTGCACCAGGATCCAAGTCTTTTCCTTTCTTGAGCATCCAGACATAAGCCATGATATAGCCAGTCATGAATGCATCAAAGCCAGCTCGGTGTGTGCCCCCCTGCGAAGGTGGACCATTGGTTTCCTTTTCCTTTTCTGCAGCACATGCTGCTTCAGTCTGAGAGATGTTTGGGTGATTGACTGAGCCCACCCCAGCACAAACTTCTGACTTCCCCTCCGCTTGGTCACTGTCAGAGGCATTTCCCTTGGCGGAAGGGCTCACAGCAGCTGCTACCTGTGCAGCAGTTCCTTCAGTGCTCCCCAGATCCTCTTCCCGTTGTGTGCTGGTGTCTGAGCTGACCTCTGGTTCCATGTCTGTGGAGCTCTCCTCCAGTGGCCTGCCCTCACTGTTGGGTGTGAGCTCTGCCAGCTCTGTAGCAGCTGCAGGTTCATAGCAGCTCTGTTTTCGGGGCGGTCCCTCCTCCCCATTCTGAGCTAGCTCCATTTCTTTCCCTGAGCTTTCCTCTTCAAACGCCTTTGCAGGCTCTTCTGTGTTCTTCCGACGCTTCCATTTGTGCTTCCGTTTCTTGCGCTTCTCCTCCCAAAGCCTGTCATCCTCATCAATTATGAGGTCAATATTATGAGACTGTGGACACTTTACTCCTTTTGGACACCAGCCATAGGCCTAGGGGGAGAGAGAGAGAGAGAAGTCTGTAGCCACCAGCCTCCTGGTTAGAGCAGCCTATCACTGTGAACATGGAGCAGAGCTAATTATTCCCTCTGCTGAGGGCTTATGAGGCTGTATCAGGAGCACCGTGTCCAGTTACAGCCCCACCACACACAAGAAAGGCTCTGACAAACCGCAGCGAGTGCAGCAGGGAGCTGTCAAGATGCAGCACGCAACATACGAGGAGAGGCCAAGGAAGGTGGGTTTGTTCCACCTGGAGAAGACAAGGCTAAGGACATGGGGATATCCAGGTGCTATCTGCAGCTACCTAAAGCATAGGTTATAGAGAAGATAGAGCTAAACTCTTCTGAGGGGAGCATAAAGGTGAAATAGTGACAGGGGAAATTCTGACTAGATACATAGGAAAACATTTTTCACAATCAGTGGTCAAGCACTGGAACAGGGGCCTGGAGGGATTTTGTAATCTCTGTCCTTAGAGATTTTCAAAATTCACCAAACAAGGCTCTGAGCAATATTGACTTGGTGGTTGGATGAGGAACTTCCAGTGGTTTCTCCAACCTATGTTGTTCTGTGACAGTAACGTGCAACTCGAAGAGCTCCTTTTCTCCCTGAAGTGTCTGAAACCAGTTATGATCTGATCAGATGGGCTCTTTGGTTACTGCTGCAGCAGCACCAGGACTCGAGATGCTGTGGATCACACTGTGCTACAGTGCCAGAAGCTGAAGACAGGTAATTTTTTTTTTTTTAAATATCTAATCAAGATAAAGGGCAGGAAAGAGGTGGCATTTCTTGCTCAGAGAACAAGCCAGACTAATTTAGAACTTACAGCCCTCCCAAGACAACAACGGGTACTGTAACGCATACCATCCCACTATTTAGGGCCATATAATCTCTTTCTGAATCATTGTGTCTAATGTAGCCTGTGGAATTCACCACCTCCAAACAGAGCATGCCATTGCCCTTTCTGTCATGAAGCCACATGAACCTTGAAAAGCTTCCTTGTACTGTGAAGGAAACAAGGGGAAGTTCCCAGGTGCTCTCCTACCACTTCCTGCTCTGGCCACGTGTGGCTCTTTCCATGGAGCCAGGATGGAAGCAGGGATTCATGTTACTTACCGAAAATTTCTCACAGACAGGCACTTTATTTCCCCCTCCAACGTTGTGGCTTTCTTCTTCCAGGGAACAGTGGCGATAGTCGATGTAACAGGACATGTTGGCAGGGTAGTTGCAGAACTCAACGGTGAGATGCTGGCTGCTCGAGTCCTTCAGCTTGCAGTTCTCTCGCTTGCTGGAACAAGAGTACCCAGTTACTGCAGTTAACTCACTGGAGGTACCACAGCATGCAGCTGGTGCAAACACGCTGCTCTCCACCAAGTCTCAGCTCCACTAGTTTCCTGCTCTGGAGCTCTAGCCCTAGCTCCACAGCCTGCTGGAAAGAAACTCAGTCCCGGAAGAATAGCTTTAGTAAGTAGTTGCTTCTGTGCTGATTTAAAGGTTGGTTTCTCTTATGCCAACATACAGGCAGGGACAACAGTGTCTCCGGTGAAGCTATGAGAGAAGGGGACACATAGTTTGATTTTAAATATTAAGGGCACAGCTTGAACCTGGGCAATGTAGACAACAAGGAAACATTTGCCATCTCTTAAGAAAAGAACTGTTTTGTCCCAGGAGCTGGCTAAAAGACCCAAAACCTTTGGAAGGCTCCGTGTAACTAGAACTGTGGGTTAAAACATTTAAGAGGTCAGTTTAAAAAGTATTTTTATCTTGTCAAAACAAACCATTCTCATGTTTGAGAACAGCGATCTTCAATGTTTTCAGACCTGTCAAAGTGGAATTTCCTGACATAAAGCAGTCACTAAAAATACCATTTCTTCTCTACACAGAGCGTGACTTCAGTTTAATGGGAGATTCAAGGGGCTGTATCACTGCCAGGGGCTTGTTTAGATTGTGTGTGGGGTGCAAAACCAGAGGCCAGACTGACACGTGAAGTAAACAGGAGCACAACCTTCGCTTGGAAGGAACGCGATGGGAGTTGTAGCTGGCCGCACGCAAGTGTCACGTGCAGGACATGTCACAGAGCTGGTCAGCGTCAGGAGGTGCAGGTGCACCCTTTAACTGCACCATCCCTCCCCAAACCGAGTGATAACTAACAGACCCTGCAGGCACAGCCCTGGTTTTGTTTGCTCTCTGGCTGAGTTTTAAGAGTCTCTCTTCTGTGTGTGTTCCTGTTGTGGCCCTGTGGCACTGCTGGACCAGGGCCATGCAGTGAATCAATTATTTTTCAGTTACATCAGGTCATGCTGTGGTCAAAACTGCTGCCAGCGGAAGACAGAAATCCTCTTTCAGCAGCTACTCGCTGAACAGATAATGCGTATTACAAAATGCACCCTTGTGCATCCAGCACCCATCCTTGAAATGGGAAGAGCACGGGGCGGAGTTACCTGAAAAGCACCTCTGGGATAATACAAAGAGCCAGCCCCCTTGCCTGGGAAAACACACAAACAAAACACTGACATTCCCTTTGCCTCTCCTCCCATAAGCTTTAAATACCAGAGTGCCGCTCACCACTTCTTGTAAGCATACTCCAAATAGGATGCTACAAAGCGAGTCTCAAACTCTGAAGCATATTTGGTGTCATATATTCCTGCTGGAAACATTTCTGACAGGTCAGCGGTGAAGGTGCCGAGGTTGTCTGGGAGGTGAGCGTAGAAGCACTGGTACAGGAAGACCAGATCGATCAGGCCGTTATGGAGAATAAGAGGTTTCTTTGCTCGTATAAGCTCCAGAAAAAAAGTCCGAACGCTCTGGGTCTGCTTCTCATTGCCCTGCAAGAAGAAGGATTAGTCAACGAGCCTTAGCGCCTTGACTTGCCATCACCCCAGGAAGTCCTCAGAGCCTGGTGTAGCAGGCAGAATACTGCCTACAGCTGTGACGTGCTCTGACCAAACAGAAGCTCAAGTATTTGGAAAAGCAACTGCAACAAGTGACAGCCTCGATATAAAAGAACAGGGAGGTGAAAGGGACAATGCTGCACTCAAGACCCCAGCATGAGCACGTCTTCACTCGGCAGCTGCATGAGGGAGACGCCAGGACTGGGGGAAGCCAGCAGCCTCCCCAGAAGCCTGGAGCAGAGCAAGCTGAGGTGTCTGGGACGAGACTCGTTTCGTACCTTGTCATTGCCCTTGTGGTAAGGAATCCCCTGGGAGTACTGCTTGTTGAAGTCGAAGCCGTGCTGCACCAGGAACTGCACCGATTGGGGCTCAACAATATAATCCTCCATGCAGAGGAGCGTCAGGTTGTAGATCTGGCAGAGATACGTGTTCTCGGGCTGCAGAAGGACAGCGTGCAAAGCAATACAGGGATACTCGTCACAGGGAGCTGCTGAAAAAGCCAGAGGCAATTCCACGGAGCACGGGTGGGTCGAGCCCCGTCTCCCAGCAGAGTCCTGCTGCTCCCTCGGAAGGCGGGAACAAGAGCAAACGGCCGCGCCAGGGCCGGTGCACGTACCTTGTCTGGGAGCTGCCTGAAACACG